ACGTCAGGGGCGTAGCACCGGGTTGAGAGAAGCCATCCTGCTTCAAGAAAAGAATCCTGCTGCGTTCCCTTGGACTGTTTTCGCCGGAGATTAGGAAACAAAAGCGACACCTGCTGGTACAAGACGACCCCCAACTGGCAATCTTATTCGTGAATACAACACGGCGACTCGTGCTATCAAGGACTGCTTCGTAGAAGCGATGCACCTCAATGGCGACAGAGACAAGAACAATGCAAATTGTCGAGGCTCATGATTGAATGTGAGATTTAATACGTTTAACAACACACGCGTGGCATTAGTGTTCCTGTGACACTAAGTGCATAGGATTCCAGGCGTTCACAAATGGCATTGATAATGATAATCGTTGATTAGTTCATGGTCATTGATTGTTTTTAATTAAACCACATAATCTCACAACATACTTCGATATGGTATCCCCATAAGTAATTTTTGTAAATTTTCTTTCATAAACTCTCACTAACTATACATTCCAAGCAGAAAAAAATCACAACCACAGCCTTCAATTTTTCTTCATTTCGTCAGAAAGTATCATGACAAGAATACGTTTGGAAGAGCTCGTCCAGAAAGTGATGCAGTCCGCGGTAGCCTCGTTCTCACGCTCCAACACCCACACTCTAACTCGACCGGCCAAGTCTCTTGAGCCGGCAGCGTGAGCTAGATTATTCTATTAAGATTCTCTCGAGGAGTCTAATTACTCGTGCGCCGGCCATTTGCCAGTACAGCTGAGATAGAAGCTTGCGTCCCAGCAGGCTTTTCATGCGCTATGGAGCTGCATAACTGAACTGGCATACAAATTCTCGATGCCCTGACTAATCAAAGTTTGGATTTTTACTAGATAAAACATCTAGCTATTTCAATTTGACGTCATAAACACGAAGTAACTGCTTTTATAATATTTTCAAGTAGTATACACCATATTTCTATAGTAACGCTAGCTAGTGCTCTTGCAATTCAACCAGAATTTTCAAGTTTTCCTTAATACTTTCCTGAAAAATATTCTTTCGTGCAGAAACTTTTACATTGCAACATTTGTCAGCAATCATAATCAACGAAAAGAATGATCGGTTAATGATATTTCGAATTTTTTAAGGGAAAACCGTATCCTGTAATTAACTGAAATAATTGTGCAAATTAGAAAAAAAATATCGAAACTTTCTGGATTGTTGTTCAATTGCAGAAGGGAATGAGAAATTTTTGCCAAATCCGCAATCCGCTGTTGTAATAGGCAGGCAACCCTCATGTTAATCGTAAACGCAAGGCATTCTGAGGAAATTTAGCGCAAGTTTTGCCATACGTTATGCTGCACTAACATCGCTTGGCATATTGACGCATCCCTGAGGCGGGCAAAAGTTTACCAATGAATCATTGCTGAGCTCGGCGTTCAGAACTTGAGCGATTTCCCGAAAAGTGGTCGATTTGCGAGCGAATTCATCTAAGTAAATGGAAAACCTGCGCAGGCGTCTAATTATCCCAATTTAGTCAATTCAAAAACCGCAGAAGTTAAAAAAAACTTATCTTATTTAAAGGTGCAGGAAGTAGACAATTTTGCCATCCCATCAAATTGACTGGTAGAGTAACTGAAGAATTTTTAACTTAGTACACTGGCAGAAAAAAATCTATAGATACGGTTTTATTTTGAGGCCTGTAGAAGACTACGAAAGAAAAATTTTGCAGTGAGCAAACCCCAATGAAAAAAAAAAATAAATGAAAGTTCACTGCATCCTGTTCAGTATCAATTTAAATGAAGAAATTCCCGGCCCTCATGAATCATAGACACCAAGGCCTTCATTTATACTGGGCAGAAAAGCTGGCATTGCCCGACAAGAGTATCAAGAGCAATAAATTGCTTTGCTTGAGCCATCTCGTTGATATAGGCTAGAGTACCGGAGCAGACACGGAGCGCAGCTGTGAGAGAACATTTTCACAGACGGCAGCTGTTATGCTAGTCGCATTTACGTTGAGTCAGCAACATAACCTATCGACACGAATCATTTTCACCACTTGTAAGCATTTATTACCCATTGGGCTAATTCTTTTTCATACACCAAACGAATGAATCGCAAGAAATGCTGCTGCACTAGGCTGTTAATTGAATTTATACATTATTCCTGAACAAGATTGACTTTAAACGCTGCTCGATCGCGTGAGAAGATTTAAAACGAAAATTATTGACATCAATGGCAAAAAAAAAGAATTTCATTAATGGTCAGGACAGTAAAAAATCCTTACCGTTCAATTTCACTCAAAACTGATACCAGGAGTGAACGATACCGTACAAGAGAAGTCGGAGTTTCACTAGAGGGTAACGATGCCGTGGCCATGAATCACGGAGGGCAAATCCGAGTAAACATCGTTGCAATTTGGGACGAGGGTTGCAATGCCACATTACAGTTAGCAAGATGAACACCCGTGCCATCTGCCACAGGAGGAGCAGCAGCAGAACGTGACACTCGCTCACAAAATTGACCTGAGAAAGCTGTCTTCGGCTCAAGCCCTGCGCGACAGTGTACATTCGATTCATTCACACGAAAATGTCAGTGAATCGTCGTTAGAAATTCTGCCATCTATATCAGTGCTAGTATCGGTGCTAGTTTTATAACATTGTCATATCATACGAGTTGTGCACGATCAGTTGAATCATAATCTGATAGGATATTATCAAAGGTTTCTAGATGGATAATTATATCACTCACCAGGCGCCTTGGCCTTTAACACCTTAAGATGACGGTAATTTGATATGCAATTACGCACAAAAGCGGCTTCTTATGGCTTCTAGATTGGTGCTCAAGTCCGAATTTTGATTTAATAAATAACTAGTTTGCTTAGTTACGATCTAAAAATAAAATGCAAAACCTGAGAAGGCAGCTTGAACTCATGAAAAGTATTGCATCAAAATGCGTTTTTGGGTTTCCTATTTTTGAGACACGATGGAATAAAACTCATTAAGTTCATATATATTCACTAAATTTATTGGATTCAAATATTGAAATTAAAATTGTAACGGTTACGTTCAGATGAGCGTATGCAGGCGCTAACTATTAATACTAATTTATTTTTAGGTGCAGGCAGCTGGCAAAACCAGAAAACGAGAACAGGAAATAGAAGAAGCAAAATAGCTAGGCTACACAAAGTAACTTTATGCGAGCAGTAATGAAAGCAGCGGTGGCATGAAGCATCAAGACCTCAGTCACTCCATTAGCGTGACTAAAGAAGCACTCATACGGGTCCTTGTGAGGACCTTTGAGATAATTGTCCAGGGAATAACACAAGCACCAAAAGCTTCCTTGGTACCCTTGAGCCTTTACTCGACTTAACGAGAGACCCAAATATTTCTGGGACTTGCAACAATATATGGAAGGGAGGAAGCTAAAGTGGCAATTTTATTTCATATTTGGGAGCAGTTAGCAACTGCCGGGAGCGGTGGATCTCGCTCTCGGCGCCCCGTTGTAATGCATGAATGTTGTAAATTGCCACGCGACGCGGAAGTGCGAGGCGCTCGTACATAATATACAAGGAGATAGAAAGCGATGATTTTTATGACAGTTCTTCCCCGGCACGCATGCAGGTGCCGTGGCTCAATAGAGACCTCATGAGGCTGCATGTGCGCGTTGTCCCCGACAGCTTCGTTCTGCAGGCGTTTTTGTTGCGTGCGGGAAAGGAATAGCAAGATATTTTGAGCAATTACAAAATAATTATTCAATGTAAAGGACAAATTACATTCAATTAGACGAAAATTTAACGAGAAAACTTGTTAATACACTCAGAGGGGAATGAAATTTTTCAATACGTATCTACAATTTTACATGGGTGAAAAAAACCTCGTCCAAAATAATAGATTAGAAAATTAGATTTGAATTGATTGAAATGTATAAACACAGTCTGAGTATTACATTGCACAAAACCAAACAAAATTCAACATAATGATGAAAGACAAATAAAGTGTCTAGCATTCATGCCACGCTATCCTCAGAATCTAGGCACTGACGGATCGTGCGCGTCACCCTTCGGGGAAGAGCCCACCACAAAGTTCCCCTCGTATCGAGAAGACGAGCAACTTTACGGCGGATAAAGCATCGAAGTAAACACGCAGTCTAACACGGGTACTAAATCACACTAAAGCATCAGATGTCGGCCGCCAACGCCTATTGAACAAGATAAAACTCAGCAAGGGCGAGATAAGAATAAGACGTGCAGCAATAGACACCATGAAGCGCTTGTGCGCGTCGGCTTGAGACACAAGAAGCGTGTTCTCACGTACGTGGTTTACACAGCGAATTATAGACGACTCCCATATCGAGTTCATTTAGAGCCCCATTGAGTGTCGGCGCCGGTTATCCCTAAGTAGAAAATACTGCTCAGTGATGTGCAGGAATTCCTCGAGATAGAAGCGGACCACATGGCCAGCCAGAAAAACATCGTCTTGTGGCCAAAGAGATCTGCGACCAACACCACAACCAATTACGGTCACGAGAGTACCAGATAAAAAGCTACGATGGCTTGCTGCGAGTAACTCGAGATAAAAGTACTGATATCCTTGGCAATTATTATGCCTAAATACATCCCAGAATGGATCACCTAATTACTGGAGCAGAGCAAGATTTCAAGTTAAAAGTGGTAATACAGAATCTTAGTCGAAATTTAAATCAACGTAATTGGAACCCGATGGACTCGCAAAATTTTTCTATTTTACTATGAAAAGCTTAAAATATTTAAAATACTCGAATACTTATGCATGCATAACATTTAAGCTATAAATTTACATTTAGTAGCTCTAGCAAAACATTTATCAACGAAAATTTTATCCTAACTAAGTCTGGCCCTTCATCATATCGAACTCTGTAGCATTAAATTTAATATAATTTTTCAACATAACAATGATTATGAAAAAGAACTAGAATTGCACTGAGGAAGGCTAGTGAAGTCGTTACCGAAGTAGCAGTAACAAATTCTAGAAAATTTCAAACGTAAAAAATACTCACCAAGATGCGCAGCGCAGCATAGGAGGAGAGCAAAGTAAATCCAGTTTCTTCGCGCTCTCATTGTGACGTGTGTGATGACGAAGCTTCTACCATAATTCCATGAGGAGCGACGACCACTTACTTGCACTACACTCAACCTCACTGCACAAAACCCGCGCTTTTTCCAACACGCTCGTAATTACGATAATACTCACAGCGATTCTATACTCAAAACGGCAAGAGTGATTATAAATTTTTCTCGCGCTCCCTCGATAACGCAAACAACGTTCAAGCAGCAGAAGGCTGGCGACCACCCCGTTTAGCAGCGTTAAATACAAACGTCAAACGTCTATCTAAATTATCGCAGCACCAACAAATTTCATTTCATAGTTCATGGGTGAATTTCAAGTCCCTGTGAAGTTTTATTACAAAAATTCGATTTTCAACTCGTTCAAATTATTTCAGAAATGATCTGTGTTTAAAAGTACATTCAACCGCTTCACCTGAAGACGACTATATTTAAATCATTTGATCAATATTAAGGCAGCAATTTTCAGGCTTATTCACAAGGTCCGAAAAGTTGATACAATTCATTTGTTGATTATTTAGCTAATCATTCAACATTGTTTCGCTTATGTAGCATGAAACTCTTGTTACAATGCGCATCATCTGCACAAGTAGAAAGCCAAAGTTAAGCATAGAAAACACATATAATAACAAATCTATGACAAAACCACTCAAACCAAAACTTTAAAACTGTACTGTATCTTAAGTAACTACTAATTTAAACTATGAATTTAAATGTTTCTGATCAGCATTAGACTTATAATTTTGAACTCCTAAGATATTCTATGATTTATATACGGTACCACATTAACTGAAATTAGGCATAGAAACCTTCGCAATAGTATCAAAAACAATAAATTTAACCAATGAAGGAATGATTTAAGTTGAGTGCAGACACGATTTTAGAAAATCTATGAAGCTTGCAACGGAGAAATCGTTCGTGAAGGCAATTTCCTGTGAAGAAGATAATTCTCATCTCATGGGAAGCAGTCGTCGGTGGTTTTCCTTGAGGTCGAGATTCGGCAACCACGAAAATCTGGCCAGGAAATACAAGTGACACGTTGCATTTGACGGTCACCGTTGAAAACAACTTTAATAATATGTAAATAATTTTAACATATTATTTCGATAAAGGACCTTAAGTGAGGTGAAATACAAGATTAAATTAATCCGCATTTATCACGAATTTGATAAATAAGAAATAATTCATACCAGCAGCATTAGTTGTAACCACCACTCCAAAAACACAATCCTTCCAAAATAATTCAATTTTTCATACTGTGGCTCATGCTAAATCTGTACTTTACCAGCCCGGAGGAATTATTTTTTTCAGACGCGGGGAGTCATGGCACATTAATGAATTCTTTTTGACAAGCGTCGAGATTTTAACGCGTGTCCAAGCAGCGCTTTGGCAAGACTACGAGTCGCCAACCCGCGCGATGAGACAAAATGTTTATTTACATCTTCTGAAACCGACAGCGGAAATACGACTAAGACAGCGCTAGGCTAGCCGTTGTTAGGGCTGCAAATTGCAGGCGAAGCAGCGACACAATCATCAGTTTAAAGATCAAGGGATATTTGCATGTTAACATACCGTACACAACATACTTGTGCAGGACATGACAACAGCCGGCGACCACTGAGCAGCATAGCGAGGTCGCGAATCATATTATGAACTGTGTTCTCACGAACATCACGCGGCAACGTTGTGGCTAGCCCACGGGAGCATCCGAGTGAACGTAAACCAATTGCATTTCTGCAATTTGCTCTTACGATGACGCTGAACTCAAGTTGAACTTGAACTCGAGTTTTCAGGCAAAGGGTCCGCTATGATAAATCAAACTGATACATGCCCACGAAATATGAACAAATTATCAAAAATTATCAACCTTTTTTCAAACAACAAATACTATCCATAATTTATTTCAAGTTATATTTTGTTATTTAAGTTATATTTTAATTTAAAAATTATTTCTACTCAGTCTAAATCACTATTGACTTCTCTAGAAGGTTGGAAGGTCGCCAAGTAGCAATGCATTCTAGCTTTCAATTGCATATACTTTTTATGAAGATGTCGCGACGCAAGCGAATGTAATCGTACCGCCCGTGTAAGGCGAACGCTGCCAAGTTCTAGTATATAGCATGCACCCAGTCCAATTAAATTGTCCATTTTCAGAAGGTCGCATCATCACACCGATTGCAGACTAATGACAGAAATAACGAGATCTGTTAATTAGGCTGTATCTCGGTAATTTACATCTGAACGGTTGCACGAAATTTAATTTTTTTCGAAAACTCTCAGTCAAACATTGGTTTATGTTTGCACGCAGTTCTAATTCCAACATAAATAAAGGGCGTGCCAAGCGACTAAACCCACGCTGTCCAATCAATGGCGCAGTTAACAGAAGGCCATTCGAACTGAAAGCGCATACACCGACAATGGCCGGACAGGGGAGACAGAGACATAACATTTTATGTGCACGGGGGTAAATAAGTGAAGCTGTACGCGCGTCATTGCAGAGATAAGCTCGGCCTGCGCTTAGCGCAACGCCACCCTAAACTTTCGATTAATATAAATACGTATAGTTATCGATTCCATGTAAAACATAGAAAATTTCGATTATATACAGTACGCAGCAAATATAGATGAGATGCAACGCTTAAATGAATTTTAGGCAGCTTTAAAACCTAATGGTGATCCGATGAAATCCATAGCAAAGAATTCGATACAACAAGTATTTAATATCGATTTAATTAAACAATTGGCAAATATCGATTCAATGTAACATGCATTATATAACTATTTGATAAAGTAAGTAGCAAATACCGGTTTACTGCAACACGTAGCGATAGAATTCTATACAGCCTGTATGCAATATCAACTCAATGCAACACGTAGAAAATATAGATTCCATGTAACAAGTATTAATATATATTTGATGTAGATGGGACATGCACGCGACAGCAACTGATTTATTTGCAGGCACTGAGTGGCACTCCACCTTCGTTAACAATCTAAAGCGACAAAGAACCTAGTTTGACGTCACTTCATTTAAAACAACCAAACAATTGACGTTGCTTGATGAGACACCGTAAATGCAGATTCGGAAAAAATTAAACTTATTAGTACATTCTAATTCGTGAACGAAGAAGATGACATCACGAGTCGATAAATTCGCCAGGTCGCAAACCAAATTAAAGTAGGAGTTTATTGCAATAATTTAGGTCTAAAGTGGCACAAGTATTAATCATACGTTAATGTTGAAAGAAGGGCGCATTTTCCGCCAAATATTTACCAACCGAAGGTAACCAGTCTGACATACCTTTCAGGCTTCAGCAAAGAAGAGATGGTAACAATCGTGTAGCATTAATTATTAATTACGACTCGCATCAACCTTCAGAAAAAGATTTTTTAAATACGTAGATCGAAAAGAAAGGCTTCAGCAAAGAAGAGGTGGTAACAATCGTGTATCAATTATTAATTACGACTCGCATCAAACTTCAGAATAGATTTTTGAAATACGTAGATCGAAAAGAAAGTTATCAAACATCATAATACATCACTCGTATTGTGAGAATGAAATAATGTTAAACGCAACAATCGTTTCAAAGACGGAAATGAAGTGCAATTAGTCCCCAAAACGAGGCTTCGTTCTAAAAAATAAACCGTGGTAGAGCTCGATATCTTACAGGAACGATAATGCAGACCGACGTATATTTGCACAAAACATCAATAAGACGAATTTAAAAGGCTGTCAATCAAATATCTAATAATAAATTCGTGGTCACGCGATGAAATAAGCAAAACAGAACTTATAAATGGAACTAACCAAGACGTTCTTTAAACTTTTATTTCCGTAAATTGCAACGATAAAGTATTCATTCTTTATTGATTACTAAAAAAAGTAAAAAATATACCTACATACATCACTATATGATTTAATACTGGTCACTATACAGTGATAACATCAAATTTGGAAAGAGTACAAATGCTGGTTTCATCACTTGAGTGCTGCACGACAGAAAGATGGCTTCCTATAAAGTTTGTCGTAAACTAATGAAGAAAATTGCCTGGGAATGCTTCACTAAAGTTGCTTACGACTCCATTAAATGCTACGGCGTTCTTAAAAACACTGTCAAAAGTTTATGACATAAATTCGTCAATATGTGAATAGTGAATCAAAATCGTCAACAGCAACGGAGAAAATACACAAACGCCAAAAAATTATACAAAAAGCGGTAAATGCAAACAGTTTGACATAGGTTGGCCAATATATTTTTTGACACACCGTTATATACTGTAATGGTGTAATCGGAATGTAATGGGAAAAATTATTGTATGCACGACGTGAGAACTAAACAAATTGCCAATCGGATCAACCGAAAAAAAAAGAGAAAAAAATTGTAAATACTTCCCAATTTGGATAATTCAGACTAGTCAGGCTTGAAAACTGACGACGCATCAAGTATATACTTCATTAACAACATACGAAAGAAAACATACCAAAACTCCAGAAGGATTAACAATTACAATCTGCTTTGTTTAAAGGTTGAACTTCTTATTTAGTCTGCTATATTAAAGCAAAATAAATAATCACTCGATTTCCAAGCCCTATAGTATTGAACAGATAGAATACCTAAATTTAATGTGAAGGGAATTTATTTACTAATCCATCACTCGTTTTAATCATGAGGTTAGTAAACTGCATCTGGTTTCGTACCACACATTCATCGCGAAAACATCATATATTAATACGTGAAAATTTTAACATCAAGTACGAACACAATTCTCGACATCAAAGCTCAACAGAAAGTAAATGCAATTGGAGACGACAGCAATAATAATGAACCTGACCACGAGACAAATTATTGGCTCATGACAGTAACTTTTAAGAACCAGAAGAATGAATTCGTTACACCAAACGAAAGTGTTCAGTACGACACAACTCTGGCAATAATAGCCATTACATTGCAGTTATTTATAGACGCATCGACACTGGTCCCGAATTACCACCCAGAACTAATCAACCGGGCTTTCCACAATTTATTTCACATTAGGACCCCCTCCCACTACCTTCAGTCTATGTTCTGAAAATTTTCGATTCGCGTTTTATTCCCAAGCATGGGAACAATTATCTTTTAAATGCGGGCACACAAAGTTTTTAAATGATTGCGAGGAAAATGACAAATTTCCAGCTTCCCACAAAAAAATACCTATACAAAAATAGACGATACCATGACGTTTCAATTCGTAACGCAAGTGTGCGTCTCTACTAAGAGCAGAGCTCATAAATAACATCATATACAAGCAATCTGCTATTTGCCCCGCACGGCGCTGTCTGGAAATAATTCTTCATTGTTGCCCAGTAGACGCCTTTATTTCCTGGGCAGCAATGCGAGAGGAATAAAATTTACGGATTTAAACTCTAATATTTAGACGTTGTACACTGCCCAGGAATTGCCGTCACAATTTGTCATGCTAAACGAGCTCAGCCGGAGACTAGACGCCTAGGGCAAAATTCATTTCGTTGCTTGAATTTTCAAATAAAAGAGAAGTAGTAAAGACATTTTCGACGTTGACAAGTACAAAAAACATGCCATGCGT